TTTCAAAACCACCATACGACTAAGATAAAGTAAGACACGATGAATTAATGTATTATAATTAGAGAAAAGGCCTAAAATATTACATCTAGTAGTCAACTCACACAAAAAAAAGTCAAAGCTAGTACAGTACAAATTTCATACACCATGTTGAAATCAAAGGAGGTAAAAAGAGATAAAGTCTTCTTTCCAAATAAGGTTGAAAGATACCCCTGTACTTAATGCCAACATAAGCTTTTGTTTTACATAAGATAGTTCAATAACTATGATCTGGATACAAGACACAAAGTGAAAAACATTTTATGTAAACGTTCCACATGCTGTTCATATATAACTGGTTCTAGTTGTAAATATTCTAGGTGGGGGGAAAATGCCCTGTATTATACTACTTATTTTCATGTTAATTGCAAGGGACTTATTTACCATATTTAACACACGTTTACTTTTTAAAATTAAAACTTGGTTTTATTTACAAAATACATCTTTTTTTTGGACTTTTACTGAAAAATCAAAACATCATACTGATGTCATTACAATAGCAAGACAAATTTACTTTTGTCAAACAAACTTGAGGTGAAGCTTTTGTGATCGGTTAATACAACATCTACTGTCTGTCGTAACAACCCTCATTTTTTTTTTTATGTTTCAACCTACAAGAAACTTCACAGTCACGACAGTACTTTACATTTAGAGTAGGATCAGCAGCACATGTTAAAATATACTGATCTGATTTTTCTAAACAATCAGTAAAAATAATGAAGAATACATCAATGATTGAAAAAAAAAACGTTCACTAAGTCTTATTAGAACAGAAAAAACATGCTTATAGACAGAAATTACCTAGGAGTTTTTTTTTTTACACTGGTGATAAATGTGCTACAGCACTGGCCAGTCTGTCATACTATTAACAACCAACATGCAGTCTCACCACACAAAAGGTGTCGGCATAGTGAATGAAATACTGTTTATGATGAAAATTCCCAAGCAGTTGTTATCCATAAATAATGATTCTGTATCTCTTTCACTGGCTAAAACAAATCATTAACTCTTTCACTGGCTAAAATAAGTCATTAACTCTTTCACTGGCTAAAACAAATCATTAACTCTTTCACTGGCTAAAACAAGTCATTAACTCTTTCACTGGCTAAAACAAGTCATTAACTCTTTCAATGGCTAAAACAAATCATTAACTCTTTCACTGGCTAAAACAAGTCATTAACTCTTTCAATGGCTAAAACAAATCATTAACTCTTTCACTGGCTAAAATAAGTCATTAACTCTTTCACTGGCTAAAACAAAGTCATTAACTACTCTCACTGGACTAA